ACTTCCCGCACATTGTGCATGCACATACTGCAGAGCAAGCAACCTACAGCTCCACATTATAGCAATTACCCTGCATGTTACTGTCGATCCGCAATATACATTTTTGGAAAGAAGTGGAAGAAGCACTTTCAGTGAGACATTTATTCACCTGGTTGTGACCTGCTCAAGAGCCAGAGCACAGAGAAGCTATGTGGTCCAGATCATAGGGGACAAGAGAAGTGACTTAAAGGATCGGCTGAGGAAACAAACAGTATTGTTTTGAAAAAAAGAACCTTTATACAGTTTTCTTTTCCCAATCCAATTCCCTTTTAAAATGCTTCAATAGCCATTTGTGGCAAGGCATTCCACACTCTAACAACGATGTATGTGAGCGAGAAACAAATTCTGCTTACCACCCTCCCCTTCTTTTCTCGCGGGGATAATCCTATTGAGTTCCTAGGACCTGAAAGGTCCTCTGTATCGACCCTCAGCTTATGTTGAGTTAGCTAGGGCAGCAGCAGTAGCAATAACATTGGCTTCAAAATGTTCCCAGGGCTGGGGGAAGGGAGACAACAAGAACTCAATGGCGCAGAACTCTTCTCATCTGGTCTTGCTCGAGGCCTGTGACTTTTACAATTACACTGGCTGGTTCTGCAGTCAGTTACGCACGCACTTAAATCACTACATTTTTAATTTAGTCACACTTCAAAGACAGATTTGTATCATGTTCTCTCTTAATCTTTTCTTAAATTAATAAAACGCTTAATTCTGTGACATCTCACAAGTCTAATCGTAATATTAGCATTTCTCTGAATTCCCTTCAATGGTAAGTTCTCCAAACATATTCTTGACATATCAAAGTGCTGTGCACTCTCTTCTCGCAACGGGTGAATTTAAAAAGAATTTAGGAGGTACTACTTTACAGAGGGTGGCAAGAACGTGGAAATCGCTGCCCGAAGCAATGGATAAATCAGATGGAATTGATGCATTTAAGAGGAAGCTAGATTTCTACATGGGAGAGAAGAGAATAGAAGAGTATGGATGTGGGTAAGGAGTGAGTGGAGTGTAAACACAAGCACAGAGTAGTTGGTCCTGTTTCCATGCATCCTATTTAAATCCATTGCTAAATCTACAGACTGATCTACCACACTTCCCTCACTCCATTTCATAATCAGTGGTCAAACTTTTAAGAACTGAGTTGATGCTCTCTGCAAGACTCTACCTAAATCGCCTTTTATTGCTCATCCTTTCCCCATTTTCAAAACCATCTTAAATATCTGACTACCTTTAGGGAACACCCTAAAATTCTCCTCCCTGCTCAGCGCTCCCCCCATCTCTCCAAAACAACTTTGAAATGTTCACCCTGCATGAAACACGCAGGCTGTTGCAAATAGCTGTACGTGTGCAGGGGGTTGGGGATGTGGCGAAGAGCATTTAGTGAAGGATTGATTGTGGAGTTTAGACTGGGTGGTTAAGTTCTCAGTATACGAAACTGGTCTCCCAGCCCTCTAACCCTCTACTTAATTTGTATGCGCTTTGAGAAGAGTAGGTTAAAAATGCAACTGCTAGAACAATGATTGAAAGTAGGTATGAAAACTCCTCCTTTCAAGGGCAAATATCATTAGTACGAACACTCATAGAATAGCTCAGCTTAACTGCCCCCACCCACCCCAGCACTCCTCTCTTCCCTTTACACTGCTGCATTTAAGACCATTTTATCTCTATAAGTAGTTCCCAGGGAGTCTATTGTAATGGCAAGTGCAAATGCAATGCTCCAACTGCATAGCAATGCTGGTGGATTTTTCAGTTTGATAGCATTTCCAACTAGAAGCGTGCACTGCAGAAAGTAATTATTCAGGCCTCAATCCTCACACTATAATTAAATGTTCAGTACATGAGTTTAAAAGTGAAAAGGCTTGCATTTTATAGTACCTTATCACACTGAAACATCTCAAGGCACTTTGCAGCAATTACAGTGACGTCTAGTGACTTGATTCTGCAGAATGCTCTTCCAATATATTGTCAAGATGCCAGTAAAGAAGCTAAATGCACCTTGTTCAGATTCAAAAAGTGGGAGATGGGGGGGGAGGGAAGAAAATCAAATTCTGAACATCCATCTCACACACTCCCTAAGGAATATCCACATTATGTTACTATCTTCCAAACTTACAACTCTCAAACTCCTACTAAGAAGGCCCCCACCCCCCTCCCCCGTTTCCCCGCATTGGATCAATTTAAAGATTCCCACCTTTGTATTCAAATCCCTTTACAGCCTCACCCCATCCAATCTTTGCAACCCTACCGATCACTCCCATCGCTCAGCAAATACCAGCTTGCTTCATGTCTCCTATTCTTAAGATACCTCTTCGACCGCGCTTATGATCACCCTCTCCACAACCCCCATCCTATTCAACTCCCCCCACCCCTACACATACTACCCCCCCCGCACAGCCCCCCCCACAGCCCCCCACACAACTCCCCCACCCCTCCCCACACAGCCCCCCACAGCACACCCCACCACACAACCCACCCACTGCCCCCCCACCCAGCCCCACCAACGCACAACCCCACCCACAGCCCCCCACCACACAACCCCCCCCCCCCACAGCCTCCCCCCACACAACACTCCTCCACAGCCCCCACACCCACACACATCCCCCCCACACAGCGCCCCCCAGCCATCCCCCCCACCCACAGCCCCTCACACACAGCAACCCCCCCTCCCACAGCCCCCCCAACACTCACCAGCACCCCCCACCCACAGCCCCTCAACCCCATAGCCCCTCCCACAAACCCCCCCACAGCACCTCCCCCACAGCACCCCTTCCCCAGCACTGCCCCCACCTTCCCCGGCACTGCCCCCCATCCCCTCCCCGGCACTGCCCCCCACCCACACTGGCACTGCCCCCCACCTACACTGGCACTGCCCCCACCCCTCCCGGCACTGACGCCCACCCCCCACTCCCCGGCACTGCCCCCCCACCATCCCCGGCACTGACCTCCCCACCCTCACGGGCACTGACCTCCCCACCCTCCCCGGCACTGCCCCCCCCCCCGCACTGCCCCCACCCCTGCGACACTGGCCCCCACCCCCCGCTGCACTGGCCCCCACCCCCCGCTGCACTGGCCCCCACCCCCCGCTGCACTGGTCTCCAGCCCCCACGGTACTGGCCCCCACCCCCCGCGGCACTGGCCCCCACCCACACTGGCATTGACCCCCCCCCCCCCACACTAGCACTGACCCCCACCCTCCCCGGCACTGACCCCCACCCACACTGACATTGACCCCCCCACACTGGCACTGACCCCCCCCACTCGCCCGGCACTGACCCCCACCTTCCCCGGCACTGGCTCCCACCCCCCGCGGCACTGGTCCCCACCCCCCGCGGCACTGGTCCCCAACCCCCGCGGCACTGGCCCCCACCCACCACTGCACTGGCCCCCACCCACACTGGCATTGACCCCCCCCCCACACTAGCACTGACCCCCCCCATCCCCCCGGCACTGACCCCCACCTTCTCCGGCACTGACCCCCAACCCCCGCGGCACTGGCCCCCATCCCCCGCGGCACTGGCCCCCACCCCCCCACGACACTGGCCCCCACCCCCCCGCTGCACTGGCCCCCACCCTCCCCGGCATTTACCCCCAACAGAACTGGCATTGACCCCCCCCACACTGGTACTGACCCCCCACCCTCCGGCTCTGACCCCTGTCCTCCCCAGCACTGACCCCCACCCCGCGACACTAACCCCCACCCCCCGCGGCATTAACCCCCACCCCCCGCGGCACTAACCCCCACCCGCCGCGGCACTGGCCCCCGACCCCCGCGGCACTGGCCCCCGACTCTCGCGGCACTGGCCCCCGACCCCCGCGGCACTGGCCCCCGAACCCCGCGGTACTGGCCCCCGAACCCCGCGGCATTGGCCCCCAACCCCCGCGGCACTGGCCCCCACCCTCCACGGGCACTGACCCCCATCCTCACTCGCATTGACCCCCCCCCCCCCACTGGCACTGACCCCCCCCCACCCCCCAGCACTGATCCCCACCTTCCCCGGCACTGACCCATCCACCACCCCCCAGTACTGCTGCACCCGCCCCACCAACCCCCAGCATTGCATCAGCCCCATCTACCGCCAGCACTGCACCCCCCCCTAGCTCCCCGGCCCCCGAGCTCCCACCCCCCCAGCCCCCCCCCCCGGCACTGCTCCCCCCTCCCACCACCCCCCAGCACTGCCCCCCTCCACCAACCCCCAGCACTGCCCCCCACCAACCCCCAGCAATGCCCCCCCTAGCTCCCTGTCCCCCCACCACCCCCGGCAATGACTCTTCGCCCCCCCCACCCCCTCCCCCACCCAGTTCCCCAGCACTGCCAACCCACACACTCCCCCCCCCCCCCCCACCCCCCACCCCCGGAAGTTAACCTGAGGTTACGTCCGCCTGTTCAAATGGAGCTTAAAAGAGACCATAGCCCTACAGTAAACTCACAACTTGACCCTGACTTAACTTGTCACTTCCACAGCCATCACACTGTGAATATCGCGGCCGCACTTATTTATTAATTAGGGACACTGCTGTGCACAATTGCCCACGAAATATACAGTCAATTCACTGTACCGTATGTTCTGTGAAGTGCCTTTGAGACGTTTCGAAGGCGCGGTAAAGGAGCTGTATCAAATCAAAGGATTATTATTATTTGACCAGCATTTCTCTTGAGTTCTCAGTTCCAAGTCGTGGGGCTTTAATCCACAGTCTCCAGAGATGAGAGTACGCTTGGCGTCTCTATCAACATGAACTCCTTTGGTGCACTGGAGTGTCAGTTTAGACTACTGTACAGAGCACACAGGGTGCGGGTATTACCGTAATGCGATTTCAGTACTTAGCGAAGCTGGAGTGGAGTTTCAGAGAGTTAGAGTATCATTTTTGGCTAGAAATTGATTGGCATTGATCTTTTTCTTGCAGGAAAGGCACCTCCTTTTGATTGGTATTCTGTAATTGCCCAGGAGCCTCAGTCGCTAAAGCTTCTAGATTTCGACAAGACCTGGAAGTGTGGCTGAAGGACTACCAAGTGAGTGACTTTTCTCAGTGTGATTCTGTTTCCTGAGTTTCTACAGTTCTAATCGGTGCTCTTTGAATCGTTAGTGGACCTCATATGGTGTAATGTCCTGCATACGAGCCAACTTCACCACATAGTGTTCCAGTGAGATGTAACAATACATTAAAAGTTTGATTGCTTCAGTATCTATAGCTGTAGCATGTACTGAGTATGGACTATGGTGCAATTTGATTGTCTGATCTGTTTGACTTCATTGGGACTGAATTGTGAGAGGGCAATATTGAGCTGTAGTCAACAATAACCATTTAACAATATATAATAATAATCCTTGCATTTGAACTGGCGCCTTATCACGTTGTTGAGGCGTTTCAAGGCGTTTCACACAATACACTATAAAGATGAGTGACTGAGTATTTTGTGGGCATAACGTTGCATCCTGCGAATCTAACACTGACTCAACATGGGCAGACAAGGGATTGAAGCGCTTTGGGACGTCCTCCCGACGTGAAAAGCGCTATATCAAATGCAAGGATTATTATTATTAATAATCCTGCGGCCTTTCCCGTTCTGTATCTGCTCTGCTCCACGGATGGGCTCAGTGGGTCATTGAATAAATCCACTGAGCCAGCAGGGGGAGGCTTTTTATACACATTCGTAATGGAGGCACTCAGTCGTCAAAGACAATTTGTTAAGGGAGACTTTGTTTGGGGGGATGGAGGAGACGTAGCTAATCCGTTCCCTTTAAGTGTCATTAAATACAGTATTTGATTTGGTATTGTATGTACCAGTTGGGCAGTCCTTCACAGGAAGTTACTCAAAACTACTTAATAATGCATTTGGTTTACTGGAAACACTACCTAAAGAGCCACCGACTGCAGTTAAAACGCAATCTTGGGTCTATAAGCAACTCAGTATTTATTACAAGTGGCCACAAATGTCTTTTCCCATCAATGAAAAGGGGTGGGGGAGAGGGTATCCTACACTGTAAGCAGCTATTGTGAGGGACTCATATCCCTATAGTGCTGTTGTCTTTTTTTATTTAAAAAAAAGCATTTAAACAACGGTCTTAGTATGCTGAATTGTGCAGCGTATTGGATTGACAGTGTGATGTTTTGTACAGTGAAAATCCCGTCTTGTGATTTTTTTTTCAAATCTCTCATTTTTGTCTGGTTACGGAGCAAAACAGTGCAGTGCTGTGTAAGGAGGAAGGACTATTGGAAGGCAAGTTGGTATGTTTGCCAGTTGATTGCAAAGTTGGTCATCTGTTTGATGGTGTTACAAGGGAGTGGCAGCATATATTTTTGGAAGGGGTGGAAGTACGAGTGTTGTAATCACATCATTGTAGTTTTCATTTTTTACATACTTTCGTCCAAATTATTGTTTCCTTGAAAAATTTTGGGTGCATTTTTGATCTCTGATCCCAAACCCCAGCTTGGATTCAAATCCTAGACTGTTTAGCGCTTTGGGACATCCTCCCGACTTGATAGGAGCAATACAAATCAAAGACGAGAAAGGCTGAATATTGTTCTGTTTAAAGAGATAGCTCTTGTTTCCTCTCGTTCAGAGTTTCTGATGTTAGATGTCATGACCTAATATTTCCTGGTGAGAGTGTGCAGCATTTATCTGACAGAAAGACAGTCACGCTCATTAAAAGTGTGGTGAAACTTGGGCGATGTACAACATGTGTTTAAATTGTTCTTTCAAGTGCTTCAGCTGAAGTATTTCCTGCTTGTCCCAGTGGGTGTCAGAGTTGTCTGTGTATGTGCTGTAGCCCGAGTGTTGATAGCAACTTTTCACCATCTTGGCAATCTATTCCGTGCCCAAGGATGTGCCATTGTCAAGTTATCACGGAAGTTTTCTTCTTTATGTAGCATTGTACGTTAGTTTTTCTTTCCCTTTGCCAACCAAAACATGTTTAATCTTTCGTTTTTTAGTACAGACAAATTATTTTTGACTAGTAATATGAATGTTCTTCTGTGTTTGTTTTCTGCTTTGATTTTACAATTGGACAGATCAGTCTTTAATCCAGTATTTGCAATGCCCTAATCTGGTGATACTGTGCTAAAAATAAGACATTTCACAGAATGCTAGAAATTTCAGCGTAGGTGATACAAGCTTATGCTTTCGCTAGCTTCTCCACTGCAGCCATATATTTGAATTATAATAACTTGTACTTCCTATAGATAGAGCCCATTGTTTTTTGTAAATATTAAATAAATTGGTTACGGTGTTTCGCCCACAAAATACACAGTCAATTCACTTCACAGTTCATGCTATGAAGCCCTTTGAGATATCTCAATGACATGACAAAGCGCGATATCAAATGCATTTATTATTATTATTATAACTTAAAATGAAAAAGTCATATAAAACCCAAAAATTAAGAACCAAGAATTTTATGGGGCTCTACCTATAGAACCTTATCACGTTGTTGAAGCATCCATCTCAAAGCGCTTCACAGAATTTTACTGTGATGTGTAGTGATTTGTAGGTGAACGCAGCATCCAAGTTAGGCACAGAAATGTCCCACAAACAGCCATGGTATGAATGACCAATTTTATTTTGGGGATTGTTGGTCAGGAAACCCGGAGGCAGTCCCTCCTTTTTTGGAATAGTGCCATGGGATCTTAATGACCAACTGAAGAGGCACATAGGAAGAGGCATCTCAGTTCAACATCTCTGAAAGACCTCTTACAATGCAATGCTCCCCAGCATTGCACTGGAGTGTTGACCTAGACTGTGTGCGTTCAAAGATCAAACTTGGGGCTTGAATCATCTGACTTGGAGGCAAGAATGCCTCCAACTGAACCAGGCTGACATCTAAAAGGATGGGGAAAGGACAGCAATTGGGCCTAGAAGATAGTTATTTCAAAGAGCCGGCACCAGGGAATAGCAATTATAATAATAATCCCTGCATTTGATATAGTGTCTTATCAGGTCATTGAGATGTCTCAAAGCGCTTCACAAATATTCTGTAAAGTGGCTTGACTCTGCATACTGTTTAAATACTTATTATCCAGGTCCCTCTTAAACGTTTTGGTTTTCACTTCACCAGCCACTCGTGACAAAACATTCCATGTTCAAATAACAGTTTCTTCTAACCTCTTCCCAACTCTTTTATGGTCCTGAGTTTATGCCCATTCACCAATCAGTGGGGACAATGCTTTGTATGAAAGTTAAGAGTTTCAAGGTGCTATTTGTGTGCAGAGTGCTATATAAATGCAAGTTGTTGTTCAAATCTGTAAATATCCTGGCCACTTTGTCTTCTCAGTCATAGCTTTTATAATTCTTGCATTTGATATAGCTCCTTATCTCAAAGCTCTTCACAGAATACACTGTGAATGTGAGTGTATCCCAGAAAAGAATTTATAGTCACTGTAAGTTTTGTGCTATTTCGTCCTCTTTAGAAAAGAGAAGGGAGTTCCTCTCAGTTTCTAGTCAGCAATCACCCCAGATAAAATTGTTCATTCGCTTCGCTGGTAAGGGGAGATTGCTGTACATATATTGGTTGTTGCATTTGCCTACAAAATATAACCACAACAAATTATATTTCTATAGGCCATTTCATGTCGGAGGACATCCCAAAAGCCAGGACAGTCAAGACCATGCAGCCAAGCTGCGGGTTGAGATCAAGAGGAGTAGAGAGCATGAACGGTGGGGGTAGGAGGGTTACCGAAGGCACAATCTGAGAGGAAGGTCTGGAGGTGGGCCTTGAAGCAGGCAAGGGAGAGGGTGAAGCAAAGGGACTGTGGAATGGAGTTCCAAAGGGTGGGGCAGAGGGGCTGAATACCCACCTGCCAATGGTGGGGCAAGCAAGGCGGGGGACGTGGAGCAGGCCAGAGCCTGCTGAACGATATTCATTCATTGCACTTTACATTAAACTCTGTGAAGCACTTTGGGAGCATGAAAGGTGCTCTATCAAATGCAAAGATTATTATTTATGTATTTCTTGCTGATGTAGTGAAATAGTGGATCTATTTTGAGGAGGTGATGGGTAGGAAATACAGCACTTCCTTCAACACTTTGCTGGAGTGTCGGCTTTGACATGAGTTGCAGTCTTGTTTTGGGGCTTCAATTCCTTCCCCATTTGCAGATCCAAAAGATCCAGGAGTGCTCCAACGTAACTATCAAGCTGCGAGATCAAGGAGGAAATAATAATAATCCTTGCATTTGATATAATACATCACGTCTTCGTGACGCCTCAAGCGCTTCACAACATATACTAGAAAGTGAATTGACTGCATATTTTGTGGGCGAAACACGAAAGCCAATTGAGCACAGCAGTGTCCCACAAACAGTTTTTTTCTTTAAAAAAAGAAAATTCTTTAAGGAATTATTTTCCCCGGAAAAGCGATCCGCCAATTGACTAAGAACTGGTTTCCTACGTATTCCTAAGTAAACAGAGACGTGTGGAGTAAGGAAACTTGCCCAATGTTTTGCCCTGCCTGGGAATCAAACACTCTGTGACACAGGTTAACCTCTGATCGTGAATAATTCGTACAAATGTCAAAGTTTAAGAATAAGTCACAGTTTCCTCCATTGTTCTGGCTCTTACGTGGAGTCCTGTAGCTCAGTGGTTAGAGCACTCGCTTTGCAAGCGAGAGACCTGAGTTCAATTCCAGGCAGAGGACGAAACCTTGGGCAAGTTTCCTTACTCCACACAGAGCCTAATAATAATCCCTCCAAAAAACAAAACAATAATAAATTGGCCATTTTCAATCTACGACTGTTTGTGGGCCATTGCTGTGCGCAATTGGCTGCCGCGTTCGCCCACAAATATACAGTCAATTCACTCTGCAGTGTGTTCTGTGAAGCGCTTTGGGACGTCCTCCTGATGTGAAAAGGGTTATATCAAATGCAAGGATTATTATTATTATTATTACTCTGTTACAGACACGTGGGTTGTGTTGATTTGATAACTCTGCATTGACACTGTCCTGAAGGATCACGCTGAGACGGGGCGAAGGGCGCTCTGGTTATGCTCATCCCTCCTGATCCCAACACCCTGCTTG